CTGAGAGCAACTTGATCATAAACTTTCCAGCTTCCAGACTGTGAGAAATAAATTCCTGTTGTTTAAGCCACCCAGTCTACAGTTTTTTGTTATAGCAGCCCAAGTGGACCGAGATAGTCATGATGTATTATCCTTTTCATATATTGTTGGAGTTCAATTTGCTACAGTTTTAAGAACTTTTTTTTTTTTTTGCGGTACGTGGGCCTCTCACTGTTGTGGTCTCTCCCGTTGCGGAGCACAGGCTCCAGACACGCAGGCTCAGCGGCCATGGCTCACGGGCCTAGCCGCTCCGTGGCATGTGGGATCTTCCCTGACCAGGGCACGAACCCGTGTACCCTGCATCGGCAGGTGGACTCTCAACCACTGCGCCACCAGGGAAGCCCCTTAAGAACTTTTTTGCATTTACTTATTTTTATAAATTTATTTATTTATTTATTTTTGGCTGCGTTGGGTCTTTGTTGCTGTGTGCGGGCTTTCTCTAGTTGCGGTGAGCAAGAGCTACTCTTTGTTGTGGTGCATGGGCTTCTCATTGCGGTGGCTTCTCTTGTTGCGGAGCATGGGCTCTAGGTGCAGGGGCTTCAGTAGTTGTGGCTCGCAGGCTCTAGAGTGCAGGCTCAGTAGTTGTGGCGCACGGGCTTAGTTGCTCCGCGGCCTGTGGGATCTTCCAGGACCAGGGCTTGAACCCGTGTCTCCTGCATTGGCAGGCGGATTATTAACCACTGTGCCACCAGGGAAGCCTGCATTTGCTTTAAATAAAGGATATTGACCTGTATTTTTTTTTGGGGGGGTGCCGTGCTGCCAACACTGCTTGCAGGATCTTAGATCCCTGACCAGGGATTGAACCCGGGGCCACGGCAGTGAGAGTGCCGAGTCCTAACTACTGGACCACCAGGGAACTCCCGATCTGTAGTTTTCTTATGTCTGTGTCTGGTTTTTATATTAGGTTAATATTGGCCTCATAGAATGAGTTGAGAACTATTCTCTCCCGTTCAATTTTTTGGGAAGAGTTGTGTAGGATTGATATTATTTGCTCCTTAAATGTTTGTTAGAATTTACCAGCAAGATCCTTTGGGCCTGGAGTTTTCCTCATAAGAAAGTTTTTAACTGCAAATTCAATTTACTTAATAATAAAGGGCTTTTCAGGTTATCTATTTATTTTTGAATGTGCTTTAGTAGTTTGTGTCTTTGAGGGAATGTATCCATTTTGTCTTTGTTGTTGAGTTTACTGGCATAAGGTTGTTCATAATATTCCTTTATTAGTCTTTTAATATCTGTAGAATCTGTAGCAACGTCATTTCTCTCATTTCTAATGTTGATAATTTGCCTTTTTTTTTTCCTGATCAGTTTCACTAGAGGTTTATCACTTCTCAAAGATCCAGCTTTTGGTTTCAATGATTTTCTCTACTGATTTTCCTTCCTAGTTCACTGACTTCAGCTCTGATCTTTATTATTTCCTTTCTTCTACTTTGGATTTCATTTCCTTTTCTTTTTAGAATTTCTTAAGGTGGAAGGTGAGGCCACCGATTTGAGACCCTTCTTTTCTAATATAAGCATTTGGTGCTATAGAATTTCCCCAAGGCACTGCTTTAGCACCATCCCACAAATTTTATTTTTTCTTTTTCATTCAGTTCAAAATACTTTCTATTTCCTTTTTCAGTTCTTCTTGGACTCATGTGTTATTTAGAGGTGTGTTTAGTTTCCAGTAATCACATTTTCCAGAGATGTTTCTGTTATTGATTTCTAATTTTATTCCATTGTGGTCAGAGAATGTTCTTTGTTTTTGAATCCTTTTAAATTTATTAAGACTTGTTCAATGGCCCAGAATATGGTCTAACTTGGTTAATGTTCCATTTGCATTTGAAAAAGATGTATATTTTGCTGCTGTGGGGTGGAGTGGTAAATGTCAATTAAATCTAGGTGGTTGATAGTTTTGTTCAAATCTTCTATATCCTGATTTTCTATGTACTTGTGCTACTAATTAGACATAAACTGTAATTGCAGGTTTGTCTGTTTCTCCTTGAAGTTCTACTAGTTTTTCCTTAGTGTATTTTGAAGTTATGTTATTAGGTGCATAAACATTTAGGGTTTTTATGTCCTCTTGATGAATTTGCCCTCATGTGATACTAATATAGCCACTCCAGCTTTCTTTTGGTTAGTGTGAACACGGTATCTTTTTCCATCCTCTTACTTTTAACTTGTGTCTTTATACTTAAAAGTGTGTTTCTTATAGGCAGCATAGAGTTGCATTCTTTAATCCCCAAGCTCTGTTCAGGTCCCTGGGATCTTCAAGAACTCTCTAACTCTCCAAGCTACCCATTTCCTTGTAGGAGTCTCTGATAATTAGAGCATCATTCCTCATAATGAGCCCCACCTACCTTCTATCACCTCTCCCCCCGCTCCCCAGAGTTACACTCAGTGAATTATTTCCACTTCCCGAGGACAGTTTTTCAGACAACAGGGACGTCCAAACCTATGGCAAGTCCTTAGGCAGTGCCAGATCCAGGCACACTGGATCAAGCAAGCCATGGAAGATTACCCAAGGCTACCTGAGACGTACCAAAGGCTACCTTGGAAAAAGTGGGTGGGAGGGAGGAAATAGAAAACTAATTTGTATAGGGAAGGATTTTATTGATTGAAAAAAACACGTATTTTTCCATTTCCAGAAAGTGTTTCAACTAAGATAGAAAGCACAGGACCAACCTAGAGTGGTCAGCTGCAGCCCAGGTGGGCCCTTTGAGAAGGAGGAATGTGCCCCTGAAAGGATAAGGAACACTTGCTCTATGCCTAGTGTATTGGCTTCCTATTTCTGCTATAACAAATTACCACAAATTTAGTGGCTTAAAACACCACAAATTTGTTCTCTTATAGTTCTGGAAGTCAGAAGTCATGGTGTAGACAGGGCTGGGTTCCTTCTGGAGACTTCAGGGGAGAATTCATTTCCTTGCCTTTTTCAGTTTTTAGAGGTCACCTGCATTCCTTGGCTCACGGCCCTTAGCATCACTCCAACCTGTTGCTTCCATTATCACAACTCCTACTGCTACTGACGCTGATCCCCCTGCCTCCCTCTTAAAAGTACCCTTGTGATTATACTGGTTGGGCTCACCTGGATAACCAAGGATAATTTCCGTATCTCAGGTCCTTAACCTTAATCACATCTGCAAAGTCCTTTTTATCATGCAATGTAACATATTCACAGGTTCCAGGGATTAGAATGTGGACATCTTTGGGGGGCCATTATTTAGCCAACTACACTCAGTTACAGGTTAGACTAGCTATGGAGAAGGCAAGTTCACCAGGTCCTAGCTCCATCGCGAGGCCTGTCCAGTCTAGATTTATGTGAATTATCTTGCTCTTTGGATGTGAGCTTCTAAACTGTTTGCCTTTGTGTCAGATGACTAGTCCAATCTTCTGTTCAGGATGGCAAGAATGGAGCAGTACAGAAATCACGAGTAAACCCCCTCTCAGGTTGTTTTCTTCAGGGAGAAGCTGAGCAGAAACTTGCTGTAGTAAGTACAGCTTAATCAGCCCAATTCCATCTTTCTAGTTTGTAAAAATAAAGGAAACTAAGAAGGTGGGGTGGGAGGAGTAGTCAGGGGAAGAGAAATTAATGCTTGGGGGTGTCCAGGCTGTGAGGTTGGAACGCTCACACCCAAACCCACTTTAACAAGATGAGAAATGATGGATGCTCTGAGAGTTTGTCAAGATGATTAATATATTTAGGGAGCATCAGGTCAAAGAACTCATCAGTGACCAGACAGGGCAGGAAGCACCAATCTGGGGCGTGACCACCCCCATCATCTCGGCTCATTTCAAAGACAACTATCCTCATGGTTTCAGGTCATGCAATCTGCTCCAATCCATGAAGTAAAATTAACTGAATTCACAGAAGCCTCCTTCAACAATGATGAACTGAGTATTACAGAGCTCCATATGTGTAGGAGAGACAGCCTCAGGGTAGGCCTTTGTTTATTAACTTAAAGTTATTTTTAAAAATCAATATGTAATTGCTGCTTTCCATAAAACTTGAAAATAGGTGAATTAAGGTTGTGAAAATCTAATAAACATGTGTTATAAATAAGATACATTTTTGAAAATATCCCATGAACGTTATTCAGTGGTGAATAAGGTTTTAATCCTATCATGTATTTTTCCTCCATTCTTAAGGGTCAGCAAGCATGCTGAGGATTGTAAAGTCCTGGAGGGAAAAAGCCCTGGGACTGTGCATCCTCTAGTTTATTCTATGAATTTAAAAGTTTCTTCAACATGAAAACAAAGGTTCACCTCTTATTAGAGATATAGGCATTAGAATACACCCAAAGCTTTTGTTGGCTATAACAGAGTGGTATTTGTAGTTTTAGTACTCCAACATTTTACCTAGAAATTTACTGAATCAAAACAGTTATCTATGAAGGAGAGAGAGGAGGTGGTGGTGGAGGGAGAATGCAGGGGAAGAAGGGGAGAAGGAGGGGGAAGAGAAGATGGGGGAGAGAAACAACCTTATCTTTTAACTATCTTCACTAATGATTTATCCAATGACCTTCAGCACATTTCTCAAACATAATGAAAATGTTTATAAATGCTTTCAAAAATCCCTCCATGACACTACATAACCCCTATAATCTTAATATTCTCACGTGACTCCAAAATAGAATGAATATTGTAAAGAATGTACATTTAAGTGAGGCCTGATCTAAGCCTTCTGAACTTTGTGACTTTAGACAGCCTCCATTCCCCTAGTGATTTATGTTGATCCTAAGGTTCCATCTTATCGGCCTGATGAAATCATGATTTGCAGGTAGAGTCCAATTTCCGAGTTCTCTTTGTTCCCTGGTATTGACATGAATCACGAATTTGTGCTTCTAAACATTCAATTCCTCCTTCCTTTCCCCTTACCATCTGTTGTGCTTAATGAATAAGATTTTTTTTAAATATAGAAGAAACATATGTAAGCTTTTCTAAAACCCATATGCCAAAATAAAAAATTACCACACTGACAGTAGTTAACAGTTTTCATAATTTAATGAAAAAGTATCAGTAAAAAGGTGACATTTGAAAAAAGACCGAGTTTATCTTTGAAAACTGGACTATATAAGACAAAACAAAAAAAAATTTAACAAAGAAGATTAAGAGGTAATACTTCAAACAACAGCAAAATGTAGCAAATACATTTGGGGGCAATTGAAATGTACACAACTGAAGGCTCCTTCATTTACCTAGGAAAATCCTGTAAAAATATTACAACTATATTTCCCTGACTGAAATTATTTTAGTCAATACTCTCCCAATGGCATTACATATGGAATTTGGCTGAAGCACTTTTTCAATGTTTGCTTTTCTTCCTCACTCAGAATTGAAAGGCATGAAAGGACATAGGCTACTGCACTGGCCTCTAACAGAAGGAGTTTATAACATAGATCCACTACAATTTTATTACCATGAAGGTATCAAATTAATATCGAACCCAGGAGAATGCAAAGAAAAAGCACAGAAACCTAGTGCATAAATAGGAGAACTACTGTTCCTCATTTGGATAATCCATAGCTTTTTCCATTCAAACAAAGCATAGGACACCTATTACACATGCTATGGCATGTTCACACATGTACACAGGCACAAAAGAAACATTTTGAAGGTGTAGCCAAAGGAGAGGCAAAATACAGAAGTTTTCAGAAAAGGAGGAAGAAATAAAAGCAAAGGAACTCATTAACAAAGCTACAGGCTACAGGAACAAAAGCGGGGGAGAGGAAAACTGCTGAGCTTCCCGTATTGACGGAGAGAAGAGGGGCCCCTGCCTTTACTGCAGCTGGGCTGTTTCACCAGGAAGCAACTTAAAATATCTAAAATGGCCTCTTTTGTCTGAAAAGTCTCACTACATGTTCCCAAACTAGAAGAAAGAGAATATTAATTTAAGGCTAAGAAGAAAAGAGAGCAGAGAATTATAGTTGGCTTCACACTTTAAAAGCTGTAACATTTTCCTCTTCTTTAAACACGAAGCAGGTATGTTTTATCTCCCACTAATGTAATTATTCTCTTCCTCCCAGAAATTAATAAAGGCTGATAGTTTGGGAACAGAGTATGAGTAACTTCTGAAAAACAGCTCCAGCCCTTTTGTTTGGGAAATTGCCTTGGATTCAAAGTTGGTACAAAGCTAAATTATATCCATGTGTTAAACACATGCTTTCAAATTCTGTTTGACAATAAAAATCTGTTTCAAAATTAAAGCAGGTAAGAATACTTAACCTCTCTGCATTTTACTATATCTTAATTATACCTCAATAAAAATTTTATAAACATTAAAGCAGGTATACAAAAACTGTCAGCCAAACTTATTTAAGTCAAACTTATTTGAAAACAATAACACAAAAACCCTGACCTGATACAAACCCTCCAGAAATGTTCTCACTTTGGGAAAGGCTCTGGGATCCTTCACAAATGCCTAAACTGAGAGGATCAGAGCATTTTCCTTGGAAGTAGTACTTTTGTAAACACTATCCACAAGTTAGCCTTTTACGCTTGTTAGCTGGGTGAAATAGTTACAAGTGCGTCCCCAACAAGCAAGTCTAGGAACAGGCACTGGACACTTATAAGCATTAGGTGTATTGACTTGGTAAGTTAAGATACTGTGAAAGGAACTCAACCTTGTTCAGAGCAAAGGAAGAGAGTAGTGAGTTTGACAGTATCTGAGATATTGGTCCCTGGTCTCTCCCTGAAGAGGGTTTCCAGGTACCAGTGGAAACTTCTTACAGACAGGAGCTCTGGAAGTCACATGCTGTAGCTTCAAAAGATAAGTAGTTTTAGTGTCTGATAATCATGGTCTCCTGCAAATCAAGGACAATGCAAGGACGCTTAATACATATGTGTTAATATAATTGGAAAGCTGCCCCAAAGTATTTACTGAGCAAATACTCTGGTCCCAGCTGTTCTCACTAGCCTCTGGCAAAAAAACAAAACAAAACAAACGCCTAAACTTTTGGACAATATGTAATTTCTATGATGTGCTCGTGAAAATTGGACTTGAAACTGGTTCAAAAACTGCAAGCCAATTTACTGTGGAAAAATTTTATCCTTTTCACTACAATTCCTCCTAACATATACTAGAATCCTTTTGGTGTATGGGTTTTCCCCAATATATGAGGCAAAGGCAAAGATGGAGTTTTTCTTGGAATTTCTAATCACCTATGCATTGAACTGTGGGAAAGGGGATATGTCTTGCTTTTACCATGGCAATCCCGTCTGGAGTCATGGGGAGGATTTTCCCTGTCTGAGCTATCTCTCTTTACCCTAACTTTCTCTTTATTCCCATCACTTTCTGCTTCTGAATCACTCAGCTCCAAATCTGGGCAATACCCATCATTTTCCTGATATGGAGCTCTCCCTGCAGACCGCCTGACAAACTGCCTGCCCCAGAGCTGCTCCTTGGGGTTAGTATTCTTGGTTGGCTTCACATAGCACGGGAGGTCCTCTGTGGTCCTCACCCACCTGTTGGTGGCCTCCTTAAAGGACCTGCTGAAGTGTTCCATGGTAGATTTTCTAAAGCTGCCCTGACTGCCCAAGTGGGAGCTGAGCATGGGCTCCTGGTCACAGAACATCTCACTTGAGCTGTCTTTTTGGGTGGCATCCCCAGACCAGCTGCCCTCCAGGCCATTGGATTTGGCAAACTTGGAGTTAGGCTGACTTTTCCCATTCCCAATGGAAGACTGTCCATGCAGGGCAGCCTGAAGGACCAGAGGCTTTCCCAGAGACTGCCCATGATAGAACTCTGGAGATGGAGTTATCCAAGCAGGACTGGGATCCTTTGCTTCACTCCTAGCATGGCTGAGACTGGCCGGCAAACAGTTATTCTTGCTCTCTAGTGGATACCTTGGGTATGACTTCATTCTCATGTCTAGTGATTCCTGAGCCACCTGCATGCTCCTCATATTGCAAACAGGGGAGCTGCCGTCAGGAGAGATAGGTCCATGATCAGGCTCTGTGGAGCTGTTTCTGCAGTCTTCTGGGGCTGATTTGGGCATTTTTAACTTTAAGGTAATTCTTGGTGGTGGGTAAAACAATGAATTTTCTAGTGCATTTGTCAAAGGAAGTCCTAAGATGAAAAAGAAAGATTCATTTTAAATGACAGAGTACATTTTCATGCAAATGGACATAACAAGAAAGTGGGGGCAGCAATACTCATAATCAGACAAAGCATACTTTAAAACAAAGGCTATAACAAAGACAAAGAAGGGCGTTATATAATGATAAAGGGAGCAATACAAGAGGAGGGTATTACATTCATTAACACATATGTACCCAATACAGGAGCAACTAACTATATAAAGCAAATACTAAAAGATATAAAGAGACAAATTGACAATAATACAATAATAGTAGGAGACTTTAACCCTACTTACATTAATGGACAGATCACCCAGGTAGAAAGTCAATAGGCAACAGTGGTCTTAAATGACACAATAGACCAGTTGGACTTAATAGATATCTATAGGGTATTACATCCAAAACCAGCAGAATACACATTCTTTTCAAGTGCACATGGGATGTTCTCCAGGATAGATGACGTGCTAAGCCACAAAACAAGTCTTAACAAATTTAAGAGGAGAGAAATTATATCAAACATTTTTTCCAACCACAATGGTATGAAATGAGAAATCAATTATAGAAAGAAAAAAGTGAAAATAAACACGTAGAGACTAAACAACATGCTACTAAAAAAACCAATGGGTCAATGATGAAATCAAAGAGATCAGAAAATACCTTGAGACAAATGAAAATGCAAACACAACTTTCCAAAATCTATGGGATGCAACAAAAGCAGCTCTAAGAGGGAAGTTTAGAGTGATACAGGCCTTCCTCAAGAGACAAGAAAAAATCTCAAGTAAACAACCTAACCTACCACATGAAGGTATTAGAAAAAGAACAAACAAAGCCCAAAGTCAGCAGAAGGAAGGGAATAAAGATCAGAGAAGAAATAAATAAAATAGAGATTTAAAAAACCCAATAGAAAAGATCAATGAAACCAAGAGATGTTTTTTTGAAAAGATAAAATTAATAAACCTTTAGCCAGGCTCACCAAGAAGAAAAGAGAAAGGACCCAAATAAACAAAATAGGAAAGGAAAGAGAAGAAATAACAACAGATACTACAGAGATACAAAAAAATCATAAGAGAATACTATGAATGGTTACATGCCAACAAATTGGACAACCTAGAAGAAATGGACAAATTTCAAGAAACACACAACCTGCCAAGATTGAATTGAGAAGAAACAGACAATTTGAACAGACTGATCACTAGTAGTGAAATTGAATTTATAATTTAAACAAACTCCCAGCAAACAAAAGTCTTGGACCAGACGGCTTCACAGGGGAATTCTACCAAACATATAAAGAAGAACTGAGACCTATCTTTCTCAAACTAGTCCAAATAATCAAAGAGGATGGAACATTCCCAAATTCATTCTGCGAGGCCACCACTACCCTGATACCAAAACCAAAGACACTACAGAAAAAGAAAATTACATGCCAATACCTTTGATGAATACAGATGCAAAAATCCTCAACAAAATATTAGCAAACTGAATCCAACCACATATAAAAAGGATCATACACCATGATAAAGTTGGATTTATTCCAGGGACATAAGGATGGCTCAACATTTGCAAATCAATCAATGTGATACATCATATTAACAAAAGGAAGGATAGAAAGCACATGATCATCTCAATAGATGCAGAAAAAGCATTTGACAAAATTCAACATCCATTCATGATAAAAACTCTCATCAAAGTTGGTACAGAGGGAACATAGCTCAACATAATGAAGACCATTTATGCCAAACCCACAGCCAACATCATACTCAATGGTGAAAAGCTGAAAGCCTTTCCTCTAATTTCAGAAACAAGACAAGGATGCCCAATCTCACCACTTCTATTTATCATAGTACTGGAAGTCCTAGCCACAGCAATCAGACAAGAAAAAGAAATAAAAAGCATCCAAATTAGAATGGAAGAGATAAAACTGTCACTATTTGCAGATGACATAATTCTTTATATAGAAAACCCTAAAGTCTTCACCCAAAAACTATTAGAATTAAAAAATCCAGCAAAGCTGCAGGATACAAGATTAATATACACAAATCTGTTGCATTTCTATACACTAATAATGAACTATCATTTCTCAGAAAGTAAAAAAAAAATCCCAACGGGCAGCATTTGTTCCCTAAGGGTCCATACTGAACACTCATAGCCCCCATCTCTACCAGGGCCTGCCACCTGTTGCTGCCACAAGCAGTTATGGGGCTGGGTCCCACTAATCAGAAGCCACATGGTCTAGGGGCCAATTTCCTTGGCACCATGGAGGCTCTTCCTGCTGTCCTTTGGTTCTTCTTGTCTTGTCCATCATGGTGCTCTTGTGGCTGAGCAGCCCTGCTGTCTCCTGCTACACCATTTTGCTGTGACCTGTGATACTCACAACTGACCACAAGCCTTTGATACCTACCTGACACCTTATTTCTGGGTGCCTCTCTTGCTCTATAGCTGGCCCTTGGCAGAAGCTGGCTTCTGCACACCCTGCCCAGTGACCCCTGGTTGCCCAGGCTCTGCCACTGACCTCTGTGTTAAATGAGGCACAGGGAGGTTACAAATGTCTCTGAATATGACTGTCATTATTCCAGCCAAGCTCCCATGCTTAGAGCATTGTAATTATGCTCACTTGTTTCTCTCACCAAGTGGGCAGAATTCTCTGAAGGAATTCTGTCTTGCTGACTGCTCTGTCTTATAGCTCAGCTCTTAGTCCATAGGAGGTGCTCAAAAACTTTCAGTGAATAAATGAAGAGACAAGAGCCCAGATCTCCTAACTTCTGGCTAAGGATCTGTCATAACAGATAGATTAAGTAACCCTGGAATTAAATGTTTTCTGGAAACTAGGATTAGATCCTATCCTACTGACTTCTTTTTTTTTTTTTTATCCTACTGACTTCTAAATGAATCCAATGAGTTTAGAATAATTTCACGGCTCCAACTAATAGCCTCAAATATCTGTCTGGGACCTAGGTTATCTGTCCTAGGCCTGCCACTCCATCAACCCCACCCCGGGATTTCTTGCCTCATGAGTCAACAGTGAAATGGGCCATGTTATATCAGGGCTGGACTAGAAGAAATGAATTTAAAAGATTTTTAAGTTAAACAATTGATATAAAATTTATACAGGTTACCTGCAGCAATTTCCTGGTTAGCAAGCTGGACTTGCAAACTGAAGATCTGTTCCTGTATTTTGGTTTGTGACAGTTTCAGCTTCTCTCGCCTGGTTATCATGTAGCACAGGTTTCGGACCTGAAAGCCCAACCCCCAGCAAATAAGAGATTCTTGTCATGTTACACAAACCTGACGTTTGAAATTGTTTAGCTAAAATTAAGACAACTAAAGTCAGGTGGGGTTGGGGGGTGGTGGGCAGGTGAGGAGAGAAGACAGACCCTAAAAGCTGTATAACGAGAGCCACTCCACAGGAAGTCACATAGCATGGTCAGTCGTGGGATCATGGTTCCTGTATCAATCAGTAGCACAAGCAAAATGTTCCAAAGCCATCTTCTGAAGTCTACTCTCCCTGTGGTATCATGGGGTTGATATTTATCTGCATAGCCAGGCTGGGAAAACTGAATGATGACTTAACATTTTAGCTTTCCCTTTAGATCCCCGAGTAAATGGTGGCAATGCTGGATCCAGTAAAGTTTTCTAAAGAGTGCTGGATCAGCAGGATAAAGGTCTGCTGGGAAGACTGGAAGTGGCGTTTTTGCTCACACTTTCAGCTCAGCCAAGTCTCCACAGCCACAAGGGTGAAATCCTCACCCTCTCATGCTCCTTCATCTGGACAAATTACTCAACCTTTCTGTTGCCCCAGTTTATTCATCTGTAAATAGGGATAATAATTGTACCTTCTTCATAGGCATGTTAGGATTATATGAGTTAATATTTATAAAATGCTTAGAACAGTGGTGCCACATAGTAAGTGCTATATATGTGTGAGTTAAATTTTAAAAAGTGAACCAAATCTATTAGTTCCCCTCCAAATTCTGGTAGCAGAGAAAAAAACAAGCCACCTCTATAATTATACTTGATTATAAGATTCTCTAGGGTAAACACAGGGCCTAACTTATCTTTGAACCCCTACAGTACCTAATTTAGTAGATACCTGATTTTTTATATATATAGCTAAAGTGAATTATCTGGCACAGAGGCTCTCAACCAGGGGCAATTTTGACCCCCAGAGGGCATTTGGTAATTTGGGAACATTTTTGGTTCTCACAACTGGGCATGTGGTGGTTTGCTACTAGCATCCAGTGAGTAGAGCCAGGGATGCTGCTAAACATCTTACAGTGTTCCCCACAACAAAGGACAGTCCCCTACAACAAAGAACTATCCAGCCCCAAATGTCAATAGTGCCGAGTTTAAGAAACTCTGATCTGGTGCTTTCCTAAATAAAATTCATTCTTTCTTCAGCCTGTAGTCTCATAAGTGTGTCAGTAAAATATAGCTGAGCCAATTTAGGTTCAACAGTGAATAAAAAGTAAACCAAATGAAAATTTATTTCAAATTTAAGGTTCATAGAGCATCTAAGTGAGGACGCTTCCATTCTCTGATGTGTCTACCAGAATTTCAACTAAGCCCAATGTTTGGGGCCACGATGAAATCAGAAGATAAGCAAGGACACAGAAGCTTACACTATAAATGTAAATGAGCTGTGTTCTTTTAAAAACTGTAAGTGGGGCCTCCATTTCTATGCAGACCAAGACCTACACACTAGTCACAGTTGGTCACCTTACCCTCTCTAGGTCTTGCCGTAGGTGCATAAACATTCTCATGCGAGTGTGAATACTCTCCTCTTTTGGCTGCACCAGACCATTTTCTTCATCCTCTTTGGGAGGAAATAATGGCTTATTGAAGTTACTTTTCCGCTTTAGTTTCCAGTAGTTATAGATAAAGTCCACAGCTAGCGTGGGCAGCCCCAGCTCTGCGGCCACATCTTCCACACGGACCAGGGAGTAGAACTCCTCCTCCAGCTCCCGGAGCTTCTGTGCCCGCACGCTGGTCTTCTCGCTTTTGGTCTGGCCCTGCTCTGAAGCCCTGTGTAGAGGGTACTCGGCCTCCCCGAGCTTCTGCCTGTTTTGGCTGTGCTTGAGGCAGTATGACTTGAACTTTACTTCATCCCCGTCATCTAGGATGGTCTTCATTTCTAGGCTGTGCTCGAAGGCACAGGTGACGTGGAAGGCAGTGATGCAGCTTTTTACTGAGCACTGTGGGAAGAAAAGATGTGTTAAGGCAGCAGGGCTGTGGGGGGAAACGGGAAGCCCTATACGCCTGAGCCTAAACTGAGAGCTCACAGGAAGCAAAGAAAAGACAGGGAGAAAGTTGGTCTTAAACTGACCATGATGGACACTTTACAAGTAACCCAGGAAATCTGCTCTTATAGAAAACAGTAAAAACAGAGGCAAAAAAATGTTTTTTTCAAACTCTCCTTTAAATTTTAGCTCAAGCATTAAGTTTTTCCGAGAATTCTTCTTTGGCCCCTGTAAAGTCATGCTGTACTTTTTCTGTGACCCCAATATCACTTTATTATATGCTTCTACAATGGTCCTTTTCACACTGTAGCTATAGCATAATAAATGTAAAATCCCTGGCCATGGCTCTTAACGACAGAAGCTGTGTCATTCATCTTTGCATTACCATCAACTATTGAACAAGGAAGTACTCAAGAAATGCTTCTGAACAATCGAAAGAAAAACAAAATCAATATTATTGCCAGAGCAGCTATTGGTTCTAAAAAAGGGCACAGGAACTCCAATATCTAAGTAACCTAACTTCCTGAAATTGGTCTTATAGAGATGTGCTGTCCAACATGGTAGCCAGAGTAGCCAACTGACCACAAGCAGCTATTAAAATTAAAATTACATACAATTAAAAATTCAATTCCTCAGTCACACTAGCCACATTTCAACCATACTGGACAGCACAGATTTCCATCACATCATAGAAAGTTCTGTTGGACAGTATGGTTACAGACAATCTGGAATTAAGTTTATAATATTCTGCCATTCATAGATGCAACACATTTGTTAAGTATCACTATGTGGCATGCACTGAAGACTCACAGGGAGGCAGAGAGAACCTGGCCCATGATTGCTGGACTCTTGTGCTTCAGTTAGTCTCAATTACCATTTGTTATGGTTATGTTACAGTTTTCCTTCCAAAGATTTAAAATGCATGTGTGTGTTTATATTTTTATGCAAAGGAAGGAGGGAAAGCAATGGAGGATTTGTTTCAAAAGATATAGTGGGAATTCCCATGGTTAAAGCCAAGTCTCAAATCTTTTGGAAGCTTGCATCTGAAGGGCAGACTGCTCAATATGTTGGGTTTTTGATAACTAAACATAGAGGATGACCTTGTATATGAATAAAGACTAAAAAAATGCAAAACCTGATAGGTCTCTTTATAGATTGAGAAATTCAACACTTAAGAGAATGCTGGCAACCATCAAAGCTTTAATGGGGGCAGATTCCATTTAATCTAATTTCACAGGATAAAGAATTCCAGGGATGGAAAACAATTCAAAGATCATCTTATCCAACCTCACATGTATTATTGCTTGTACTTCCTGTAAAGTACCTGATATTCTACCTACACTGCTCCCTGCCCTCAACTCCTTCCACTTTTCAGTTAAGTGGTACTCTAGCCACTTACTGTATTCCTAAAACAGCCCACCCCAACTTAGAGCAACTGGAAGAGTCTGTTACATTACATCGAAGTTTGTATTCTTAAAAATTCTATGTATTTGAAAAGCCTCATGAAAATGAGGATGATGAGAGCCCCAAACTATACTTTTATCTGGGTACCTTTGGTTATCCCTTGAATAAGAAACTAGCTGGTCATTTAAAACACAAGTAGCAAAAGGCACTCTTTAGCAAAAGATTAAAAGTGTTGGGCATAGTGCTCTTCTGCTGTCTAATAACTGACAAAAATATGGGAAGAGAAAGCAAAAGGATTGTTTTCTATTCAAGGAGATGAGTGTGTGACATAAAACTACTACTAATGGGAAGCTAAAAACAGATCACCTCTCTCAGGTCAAATTTATAGAACGTAGAGACATAAATATAAATTACTCAAAATAAAAAGACAATACACGAATAAGAATTGGGTACTTAGATGAAAAATGGAATGTCCTTAGGAAACTCTGCCATAAAATCCATCTAGTTTCAAAAAAAGGTCATTCTATGATATTTATAGCTAGAAGTCCATATACCTTGGTGGTAAAGGAGAAATGCTAACCAAATAACTTTTAATTTTTTTTCCAAAAACATATATTTGGCACATTCTGTTAAACAAAATGCTTTTGTATATATCTCATTTCTATTGTAATCACTTAAGGTGATAGGGGAGGTTTTATTATGCCCATTTTAAAAGAACAGCTTTATTGAGATATAATTTACATACCACAAAACTCACCAATTTTAAGTATACATTTCAATGTTTTTAGCATATTAACAGAGTTGTGCAACCATCACTACTACATAATTCCAGTACATTTTTATCACCCCCCAAAAGAAATCTCATGCCTATTTGCCACTCCCTGTTCCCAATCCCAGCCCCAAGCAACCACTAATCTACTTTGTGTCTCTATAGAAATGCCTATTCTGGACATTTCACATAAGTGGAATCATATGTGACAGTTTATATCTGGCTTCGTTCACTTAGCACGTTTTCAAGGTTCATCCATGTTGTACCATGTATCAGAATTTCATTCTTTTTAAAATATGGCCAAATAATATTCCATTACATTGGATATACCATATTTGTTTATCCATTCTTCAGCTGATGGACATTTGGGCTATTTTTACTTTTTAGCTATTATGAAATAATGCTGCTATGAATATTTGTGTACAAGTTTTTGTGCAGACATGTTTTCATTTCTCTTTGGTAATGTGCAATAAAGGATTAACCTTGCCAAAGAAAGGCTTGGCCCTCTGCCTCTAGCTCCTAAGAGGTAACCTCTAAACGCTTGGAATGTCCTGCCTGATAAGAGTGTCTTTATTTACCTGGGGGCCTTGGGCCATGTCAGATAGTCTATGCTAACAATGTGATTTATGGTGGAAGCTCTGAGCCATGTGGTATCAGCCTGACCTCTGGAGGGACTGGAGACTAAGGCCAGCCATGCAGGTGGTCAGCCACGTCTATGTGACCAACTCCTAAGAAAATCTCTACACCAAGACTTAGGTGGCTTTGCTGGTTGGCAGTACTCTGTGTATATTATCATACACCAATGCTGAAAGAAATAAGCACTGTCCACAAGATTCCACTTAGAGAGGAAACTGGAAGCTCCATGCCTGGTATCTCCTGGACCCTGCCCTATGTGCCTCTTCCCTTTGCTGATTTTAATCTGTATTCTTTCACTGTAATAAACTATGACCATGAGTATAACGGTTTTTTGAGTTCTGTGAGTCCTTCTAGTGAATTATTGAACCCGAGAGTGGTCTTGGGGACCTCTAACTTGTAGGTATATACTTAGAAGTGGAATTACTAAGACATACAGTGACTCTATGTCTAACTTTTGGAAGAATTGCCAAACTGTTTTCCACAGTGGCTGTGCATTTTACATTCCCACCAGCAATGCATAAGAGTTCTAATTTCTACACCTTCTTGCCAATAATTGTTATTGCCTGCTTTTTAAAATTATTACCACCTTAGTGGGTATGAAGTAGTATCTCACTATGGTTTATTTACTTTTAAAGGGGGAAAAAGAAATAATTTTCTACCTATTCTTCAGAAATTATAGAAGAGAAATGAGTTGTTGAAATACTTTCATTAGAGGGAAAATGCTATCCTTATATGTTCACATTTGTAAGGGGAGTTGGAGTTTCTGTGGGATGAGAACTGGATCAGATAGGATGGTTGGAATAAAAGCCTTTGAAAAAGAACACCAGAGACTGATTTAGGAATTAAATTGTTTCTTGCCTCTTTAAGGAAATATTTTGTCACCCCCCCGAAAACAAAATAGTGTGTCCTCCTCAAAAGCAGATGACACCTGCGTTGAACACCAAGGGCCTGGTGCATGTGTCCTCAGCAGTTCTTATCCTGCTGCAGGACAGTGTCCATTTGGTTGCCATTAATCCCCAATAATCTGTGAACAGACAAATGGGTGATATCAGAGCAATTTTCTCAAAACTTGGTCACTGAAACCATGTCATAAATGATTCAAAGTCAGCCCACAAAACCTATTTAGCCATCATGTACTTAAACTCTAGCACCAACAGTGGCCACCAGCCCTTCTGATCTCTCATTCCTAAGGGTCTGCATGGTCTGAGGGGAGATGTCACTTCAGGGTTATTTAACTTTTCTCATGTTTATATCTGGTCTCCCTTAATAGACTATAAATACCTGAAGGCAAGGACCAGAAATATCTTAGAATAGGAACAATTTGTACTCACAAATAAAATTTGGAATATATGAGAAAAATATTAAGGTGCTTTCCCTCTTAATTTTTTTTGATGCCCTTTAATTGTAACATTTAATTTCCATCTCTACTAGTACTACCTTTAATAGTCACTGAGTAGACGTACTTGCATTTCCCCACTTGGCAAAGATTTTCATTTGTTTTAAAAAAGTTCACTTCCCTCATAGTCAAGCTCATATTAGCCTAACAGTAAACTCATGGTGGCCCACCAATTTATTCTGACTTCACTAAACATGCATGTAACTCCAGACATGACCACATTCCTCTACTGTCGAAAGGGGCACCTACTCCAGCACCAAATGTTTAATGATTCTATTCAGTTTGGCTGGATGAATGCTAGGGCTTTCCATCAACAAAGTCAGACTGACTCCAGGGAATAATATGAACAATAACAACAAGTACAAATACTAGTACCACTAATATTTACTGAGTATTTAGTATCTGTTAGGCAGTGTTAAGCTCTTCACCACATTATTAAGTAGGTACTATTTTATCATCTCCATTTATAGATGTGGAAACTGAGGAACAGATTTGGCAGGTAACTTTCTCAAGATTACATAACAAACAAGAGATGGGACCAGGATTTGGACCCCAGGAATCTGGCTCCAAAGGCTGTATTTTTAACCACTGTTCTTCCTTTTTTCTCAGGGAAGGCCTAAAACATCTGGATCTAGGTTGAATGGGGCTTGAACATAAGATATATAAGGACCCTATAGGAATTCTGGAAAGGTGGCAGAGGGACTGTGTCCAGGGTTTAAGCAAAATTCAGAGCTGTCTGGGGCATCTGTTTTGAACCCAGTCTTTAGGATCTGTTCCACGATTATCAGAAACCTTCATCCTCAGGAGAAAGGTTCTAGCTCCCAGATATGGAGGCTGTAGATATTGGCTAGTCTAGACCCCAAAACCACCAGTGTTAGATTCTATCCTTGCCGAATGAATGTTCCCAAATCAAAGGAAGAGGAGAGATGTGGGTATTCCCCACTGCTGGGAGATAGGAAGAATGAACATAATTCACAGTTAAGAGAATTCCATAAAGAGTTTATAAAGCAAAATACCTGAGATGTGTTACTAATCACAAATACCCTTAAATAAACCTCTGACAAACAGATGCTAATAAAACTTGACCCCCACCTATGTTCTGCTTATACTAACAGAGTGGGCTTTGTCTTCCACGGTTCACACCTAGTTTTCCTGTGGAAAAAGAGACCAAAACCCTTTTTTCCTTTTAAACCACCACTAAGTTAATTTCAAACCAATTAGTAATTTAGAATCTTGTTCCCTATATGGGGATCAAAAACAGTAAATTAGTATAGGCAGAACATAGGTGGAGAAAAATACAGCCACACTTCACAAGGTCACCTGAAGTTCACTCCCCCTCACTTGGGGGGAAGATCTTTAATGCAGCCTGGCACTCACAGTGTACTTCCCGAAACCAAAAAACGATTTCACACCTCTTCTCTCCCCAAACCTTAGGACTTCACCCACATCCTCACTCTCAGCTGATGATCCTGTTTCCTATCTCACTGAGGAAATTACAACAATCAAAAAGAGCACTCTGGGGACTTCCTGGTGGTCTAGTGGGTAAGACTCCTTGCTCTCAATGCAGGGGGCCCGGGTTTGATCTCTGGTAGGAGAACTAGATCTCGCATGCATGCCACAACTACGAGTTCACATGCCGCAACTAAGAAGTCCACATGCCACAACTAAGAGTTCACATGCCACAATTAAGAAGTCCGCACGCCACAACTAAGAAGTCCACATGCCGCAATGAAGATCCCACGTGCTGCAACTAAGACGTGGAGCAGCCTAAATAAATAAATAAGTAGGGCTTCCCTGGTGGCACAGTGGTTAAGAATCCACCTGCCAATGCAGGGTATGTGGGTTCGAGCCCTGGTCCAGGAAGATCTCACATGCCACGGAGCAACTAAGCCTGTGCGCCACAACTACTGAGCCTGCGCTCTAGAGCCCATGAGCCACAATTACTGAGCCCATGGGCCACAATTACTGGAGCCCACACGCCTAGAGCCTGTGCCCCGCAACAAGAGAAGCCACCGCAATGAGAAGCCCGTGCACTGCAACAAAGAGTAGCCCTCGCTCGCCACAACTAGAGAAAAGCCCACGTGCAGCAACAAAGACCCAATGCAGCCAAAAATTTAAAAAATAAAATAAATAAATAGAGCGAGGATTCTGGGAAAATGGCAGAGTAGGAGGCACCAGGAATCTGTTAAAAAAAAAAAAAAGAGCACTTTGCAGATTCCCAGCAGCACACCTATCTAACACTGTACCTACACACTCTGCCTTCAAGCCTGTTACCCGGGAAGAACAATCTGTGCTCTTACCTGAAGCCGCCCCTCTCTCACCCTCTTTACCCCACCCTCTCTCACCTACTGAAAAACCTCGCTCCAGCAGTTTTTCCTCTCCATGGGTCACTCTCTTTGCATGCATACTGTTATGTTCTATATGTTAACAAGTATACATACAATAGTCTCTCAGTATCCTCAGGGGATTGGCTCCAGACTTCCTGTGGATACCAAAATCCACAGATGCTCAAATCCCTTATATAAAATGGCATAGTATTTGCATGTAACCTTCGTGCATCCTCCCGTACTTTAAATCATCTCTAGATTATTTATAAAACCTAATACAACGCAAATGCTATGTAATAGTTGCCTGTGCAAGGCAAATTCAAGTTTTGCTTTTGGGAACTTTCTGGAATTTTTTCCAAATATTTTCAATATGCAATTGGTTGAATCTTCAGATGCAGAACCTGCGGATACAGAGGGCTGACTGTACATACTTGTTATTTCTTCCATCTTAAAGAGCGGACTTCTTTCCCTCACTTTTCCGGACTGTTCCTACTCCATTTCTTTGCCCTGACCCTTGGCAATGTAGCTTTTGCCATCATCACTCCACCTAAACTGCTCATCCAGATTACCAATAATCACATTGCTAAATTCAGGGGTCAATTTGTAGTCCTCGTCTTACTCAAGCAGTATTTTTACATCACTGATCTTTCCCCTCTCCTTGAAACGCTTTCTTTCCTTGATTTCTAGGCTACTATGCTCTCTTGGTTTTCCTCCTGTCTCCCTGGTGACTTCTCAGTCTCCTCTGCTATCTCTCCCTACTCTCCTGACTACTTAACACTGGAATGCTGCAAGGCCCAGTGCTTGGTACTGTTCTCCTCTCTATCTACACTCCCTCACTCAGTGATCTTACCCAGTCCAAGCTAAAGATACCTACATGACAATGACTCCCAAATTTATGTCTTCAGTCCAAAACTTCCTCCCAAACTCCAAACTCGCATAGACAACTGTCGGTTTAATATTTCCACTAGGATATCTGGTAGACATCTCAACTTAAATGTTTAAAACTGAACTCATGATGATCTTTCCGCCCATATCTCTTCTACTTGCAGATTTTTCCATTCAGTTTATGGCAACTTTACCCTTCTCCCTGTTCAGGCCAAAACCTGGAAGCCTCCCCAACTCCTATCTTTCTCTCACACCTCATACCCGATCCACAGTTCATCCTCTTGGCTCTACTTTCAATATTCATCCAGAACCCAACCACTTTTCACCACCTCCAGGGCTACCACTCCAGACAAAGCCACCACTGCCATCTCTCAAGGATTACCGTAATAGCCTCCTAATTGCTTTTCTCGTTCCTAACCTTCCCTCCTCACAGTCTGCTCCAAATAAGCAGCCAGAGTGCCTATTTTTGTTTTAACCTTCTAGTATGGAAAACCCTACATAATAGCATAGAGAATACTATATTAAACCCTATATACCCATTATACAGACTCAATAATTATTAATGTATGACCCATCTTGATTCATCTTTAACCCCCATAGTACCCTGCCCTCCAGATTATTTTGAAGCAAATCTTAGACATCATTCCATAGAGTGATCCCTTAAAAATATAAATCAAATCATTTTATTTATCTGCTCAAAACCTGCTAATGGCTCCCCCTTTAAACTCTGAGTAAAAACAAAAGATCTTTTTTTTTTTTTTAAAATCTTTTGGCCACGCCACGTGGCATCTGGGATCTTAGTTCTCTGACCAGGGATCGAACCAGTGCCCTCTGCATTGGAAGCGCGGAGTTTTAACCACTGGACCGCCAGGGAAGTCCCAAAACAAAAGATCTTATAAGGGCCCTGGAAACCCTTCACCATGGGCTTGCAAACTATGGCCCACAGACCAAATACAAGCCAGATACCTGTTTTTATGTGGCCCATGAGCTAAGAATGGGAGCTAAAAATGGTTTTTACATTTTTTAAATGGTGGAAAACAATCAAAAGAAAAAGAATATTTTATGACATATAAAATAAATTTAGAGTCCATAAATAAGCAAATGAGCATGGCTATATTCCAGTAAAGCTTTAAGTATCGTCTATGGCCACCTTTGTGCTACAAAGGCAGAATTGAGTAGTCGTGACAGAGACCATATGGCCTGCAAAGCCTAAAATATTTACTATCTGGCCCTGTATAGAAAAAATTGCCAACCCCTGCCCTAACCAATCAGGTCCCTGTGTAATCTCTCTGATATTCTCTTCTCACACACTCCATTCCATTCTCATTGGCCTCTTTCCTATCTCTCGGACAAGCCAAACACACTCCTATCTCTGGGCCTTTGCACTGGCTGATCCCTCTGCCTGGAACATTTTTACCCCAAATATCTGCATTGTCTTCTCTCAACTTCGAGTCTTTGCTCAAATGCCACAGCTACGGTGAGTCCTACTCTTACCACTCTATTTAAACTTGCAATGTATGCCTCCTGCCCCACAATCCCCATCTTACCATACTCCACATTTTTCCTTTCCAGAGCACTTACCATCTTCTAACACGATATTTAGTATCTATTGCTTATCATTGATTTCTCCCAAACCAAAATGTAAGTTCCATGGTGCAAAGTTCTTTGTTGGTCCACTGATAAATCCAAAGTGCCTAGAACAGTGCCTGGCACACAATTAGGCACTCAAATATTCATTGAATAAGTGAAATTCCTTATAATCAAAATTTTAAGAGACTTTTATGACCACCACAGCAGCATACATCTCCACTTCATTGATCCATGTATCAACACATGATAATTGAAGCATGGCAGGTACCTCACAGAAGAAATTCTCCATCTGATATGGACCACAGTGAGGTAACAAGAAAGTCAACACTATTTGCACCAAAGAGTTGCTGAAACCTGTTACCCAAGCCACTGCTGCCAATTGTTGGCATAGCCAAGAGTGCATGATAACTGTGTAATGGAGAGGCTGGCAGATAGCTACATAACGATCAAAGGCCATTACTGAAAGAAGTACACATTCAGTGGATCCTAAACTAAGGAATATGAAAAGTTAAGCTATGCATCCTAGGTAGCTGATATTTCTCCAGTGGCTTTGGATGTTGACCAGCATTTGGGGGACAGGGGAAGTAGTACAGCAAAGGTCCAAAAAAAGAGAGATTAGACAGAAAGAAATACATGGGGGTGTGGAGCCTGGCATCAAGGCATGACAAGATAATGATGGCTAAATTCCCAAGGAGGGTCATTATGTAGAAAACAGAGATGGCCAGAAAAAGAACCATTTCTAGTTTGGGCCATTCAGAGAAGCCCACCAGAACAAAGCCATCAGAGTGATGAAAAGTGTTACTGAATTTTCTCATTGCTTAACACTACTTGCTGGAAACACCACAGTCAGAATTTTGAAGCCTGATTATCCTTTGCTTAGAACTTAATGCTGGTTTATGAACCTACATGCAACAGAGGAACTGGATAGGGAATGTTGAAACAAGTAAAATCATTAATGTATTTCCTTTTATTACCTCAGCAAGAAAACTAAGAATTAGCACTTATATACCTGTATTTTAACAACCATATTTTAAGCCACGACTTTCATTTAGTAAACTCATAGTTTACTAAGTAGAGGTATTACGAAAGTAAAGGTAGTATAGATGCATTACAAAATATTTGTTATAAAAAGGTGTTGGATCTGTTAAGATTGAGAGAAACAAAGACTTCACTGGAGCTTCATTAAATCTCTAATTTACTCAGTAAAAAAAATTTTTTTAAGAGTCTTAATTTGGAAAGACCTTTACAAAATGCAGAATCTAAACTCTAAGTAATAAAAACAAAACCACTGCCCTGAAATAAAAAAACCCACTCCAGAATGTTTCTTCCATCCATCTGTTCATCCACTGTCCATCTATCAATCTAATATTTATTGTTCATTGGCCATGTCGGGGGTTTGCAGGATCTAAGGATGAAACAGTTTGAGCTTGCAGCCTACTAGGGAAGCTAAGACTCATAGATAAATAACTACAATAGAGGGCAGAATGTGGCAATATGGGGCATTTTTTCTCTCACCACAGTCATGCTGCCAATTACTAACTGTTGTAAAAAAAAAATCATCCTTTAAAACAGCAAAAATTGGGGAAAATGCAGGTACCACAATAAGGAAAATAAGTAAATTAACAGACATAAATTCAATGTGCTATTATAAAATGACTAAATGATAATTATGAAAAGATGGGAAATATTTTATTTTTTAGTGGGGAGAATGCATATTACAAACTAATCTATGATACAATTAAATACGGATATATTTATTCAATAAACACTAGTTGAGCACTGATAAGGGGCAAGAACTCTCTTTTGTGCTAGGGAAAGAATGATACATAACCTTGGCCCTCAAGGGGCTCACATGTGGGGCGGAATCAGGAGAGAACTTAGAAAAGCATAAACAGGCAATGTGTTAAGGCAGTAGACCCCATGGGAATAGTTTTCCTTAAAAATTTTCCTCCTTATAATTGCTAAAGTGCTATAGTTAAAATAAATAAAATCAGCAGGAAAATTTTTTTTTAAAAAAGCAAGACAAAGTATCTGATTCTGTCAAATGTAAAAACGAGTTTAAAAACTAAAAGTGTTTTTGGGGTCCAGATTGTGTTCTTTAAATACCATTTCCCAGTAAAAGAACCAGGGTTACTTGGAGGAGTGGCTGATCCCAGGTCTAGAGCAAGAAATCTACAAGATGAGCCAGATAGCAAGGAACCTCATGAAACACCTACAGCCACTGTCCCTAAGCTATGACATCATATGGCCCCCTTTCTGTGAAGGTGAACATGCAAACCTAACTCCAACCAGACTGTATCCTATGCAAGAGGTCTGGGAAGTGGAAGGCCAGCCCTTCCTCCCCTCTCACCAGGAAATCCACCTTATTACATTTGGAATAAAAGGTGAGATGACATTCTGGAAAACTAGATTATGAAGGGTCGACCTTCCTGCCTTTTCTGGGGGTGACTGGCCTCTCCCAGCCCCATCCTCCCCACCTCCAATGTTGCTTTTGGGTGCACCAGCTACGACTTCTACTTCAAGCAGCTGAATTTCTGTGCCTCAGATGTCTCAGAAAACTCGACTTGCACTACCATATGCAACAAATATGCCTATGAGAATGACTTTCAAACCTATCAACCAGAATTTATCCATTCAGATGCATCTTTCCCTATCAAATGAGTTGCACTTAGTCTAGCAACAGGGTCATCTGTCAAATCATCCTGGAACCCAAGTCATCCATCTACAATGGGTGAGCCACACAAGAACATGGGCCTGGTTGTTTAGAAGTTATGGCTTGTTTCCACCCAGGATCATCTAGCTTCAGAACTCACCTAATTCATCAGATTTGACAGTGAAGGATGGAAATTAACCACCACTATGGCTATTGAAAAGAATAAGCTGAAGGGTCCAGAGGCAACATCCAAAAAAGGGGCTCCAGAAATGGTCTGTACAGTAGCAGAGCTCTAGGAGTGAGTGAGAAGCCTGCTGAGTAACCTTTCAATTAGCAGGATGCTCTCTCACTGGGAGGGTGAGTCTGGCCAATTTGGTGTTAGCCCACTCCACCACTTCTCATTGGGACTTACCTGAATACAAGCCCCTGTCTTCAACTTGCACAGGTTGCAGACTAAGGCCCACCGACTGGGCGGAATATGGGAGACCTTTGTGATTGGTTCCATCCTCTCAGGACAAGCAATGCTGACCTACAAATAAAACACCACCATAAGGCAGAAGGCACCAAGGCATTCCAGAAGTACCTTTCACAAACCATAAATAATATCACAAGAAGCTCAGAACATCAAAACAATGGGGTGAGCCATGTCTCCTAAGGTTACTATGGGACTTAGAATAAATAAAACCCGTCTCTAGCCACTGCTCAGGCCTTCAATCATTTCCAGTAATATAAATGCTTCATATATAGGATGAGAGGGCAGGAGTAGAGACTAGGCATGGTTACCTTAATGAATCAAAGATATCTACACTTTACTTAGGAACCAATGAAAGCTACTAAGGAAAGGAATTAAGATTCACAAAATCTAGCACCTCTCACATGTTTGAGATGGTGCCACATGCCTTGTGTTTTTTTCATTTAATAATGAATGATGAAAAACAGCGGCAGTGACATAGTATCGTTGGAAAGTAGCAGCAATCTGTGTAATGAAGAGATTGCAGCACATAAGTAGAAAAGATGAGGATAACATTTTAAAACCAGTCTTTAAAATCACGCTAACTATCACCAGATTACTCTATTCTTTCAGCCAAAGTAGCTTTAAAGTTAAATTAGTCTTTGAGAGAGTGCTGAAAGAGATGCTTTTTAAAAACACGGAATTTTTCCGTGTGAAAATAAGGGGTCAAGCAACTTCTGGTAAAAAGTGTTTTCTTTAAAAATACGTACATGAGTTTCTAAGAGAGAAATGACTTTGAAAAGTGAAGGACTGTTGAGTAAGGACAGTTAAACTAGTACAAGTTCCACCCACATCGAGAAACCAATAGTAGAAAGATCAGAGACATCTAGAAAAGCCCCCAAAGTACTAGAAATCAGTATTAGAAACTATAAGAGAATGTCAACAGGTGAGAAAGCTTCTTTTAATTTTAAAGAACTCTTCCTGAGTCATGTTCCAGACTTTTAGTATTCTGAAAGAGCCTGCTTTATTAGCTGGGGAATTTGCTGCTAGAAATTAGTGATTCTCAGGCCAGAAACCTCAGAGTTCATTTCACATGTCTATTAGCTGGATGTTCTTAGTAAGAAAAAGAAACCACTACTCAAATTAAAAAAACAAACTGACTTCTATATCCATAAGAATACCATAGTATGTACCTAGAACTTTCAGTTTAACTTTGTGAGCTCGACTGCTAGACAGATTAGACGTTAACAAGAATAAAGGCAGGCAAGTTTTAAAGGAAGAATGAATTTCTGATACAGTATCATCAGCTCCCAATAAACTGAATTCTGCAGTCTCTCTTGTTCTGCAGTTAAAATGCTAACAAATTTGCTGGCTTGGATAGGGTTTGGGGAGAGAGAATGTGAATGAGCTGTCCAAACAGATTTTTTTTTTTTTAAAAAAGGGCAGCCATAGGGCTTCCCTGGTGGCGCAGTGGTTAAGAATCCGCCTGCCAATGCAGGAGACTCGGGTTCGGGCTCTGGTCCGGGAAGATCCCACATGCCGTGGAGCAACTAAGCCCGCGGGCCACAACTACTGAGCCTGTGCTCTAGAGCCCGCGAGCCACAACTACTGAAGCCCATGCGCCTATAGCCCGTGCTCCACAACAAGAGAAGCCACCACAACGAGAAGCCTGCGCACTGCAACGAAGAGTAGCCCCCCGCTCTCTGCAACTAGAGAAAGCCCACGCGCAACAATAAAGACCCAACGCAGCCAAAAATAAATAAAATAAATTAAAAATAAATAAATAAATAAATAAAAATAAAAAGGGCAGCCATAAAAAGTAAGAAGTAATGTCTGGAAGCCCTCAGGAAATATCAGCAACTGAAGGACCAGATTAAATAGTGAGGGGTGGCATTCTGAATAAAGACACTCTTAAAAAATGGAATACTACTCAGCAATGGAAAGGCATGAACATTGACACACACTACAATATAGACTGCTAGCCAGACAGAAAAGAGTGCATACTGTATGATTCCATTTTTAGACAAAACGAAACTATAGTGATAGAAATCAAAATGGTAGTTACTCTTGGGTAATAGGGACCCAGATAAGGACTGGAAAGTGGGTGTGAGGGATCCTTCTGGGATGCTCTATGTCTACTTCTGGGATGTCCTATGTCTTGGTCTGGGTTGTGGTGACAGATACATACATGTGTAAAAACTTATGAAACTCTACACTTAAGATCTGGTATTTTTAAGGTAGGTTTTACCTTTAAAAAATGTGCTGCTCATACCCTCTCCTCTCATCCAAATTTATCCAATACCACTGTTAGTACCACCTATAAATTAATTAGCATGGGCTCACATGCCCACTTGCAAAAGAAGGATGTGAGGGAGGTCAAGTGGAACCATTGTCACCTCAGAAACTTGGGCAGGCATGAAGCATCTCCATGAAGCCTGAGTCAGTCTGAACGTTGTGGGAGAGAAAATGGCCTCACAGACCTGGATGAATTCTTACCTCTGGAATCCACAGGGCACAGCTGACGTGAGCCCATTTAGTCCCTGTCCTGGTGGTCTTCATGGCTCCACCTTTCTTTGGACATAACAGACATTGTGGATGAATGCCCAGGACACAGGAGCGACACAGCCAGCTGCCTTCTGGGACCTTGAGGATGCCGTAGCAGGCCTGGAGGCACGAGGAGGAGAGGGAGGTAATGGTTAGCATCTTCTCACGGGGTCAATGTCTGCTCCGGTACACAGTCACAGAGTACCCTCCACTTTTAGGAGAAAGAGGCAAATAAGGCCAAACGAGCTCATATCCAGGATTTAGTAATTTTAAAACACTCAAAAAAAAAAAAAAAGCAACTTCTAGCATCTGTTTTAAGGTCAGCATGTCTGTCTATGAGAATTAACTTTAAGGACGATAGAGTGAGACTAGAAGGAAATACACGCAAAGGTTAGCCCAACTGTTATCTGAGTTTTGTGATTACATATTTTTTTTGCCTCCGTTTTCTAAAGCTTTCTCAATGATTATGTATTATAATTAGTCAGTCATATACTCACTGAACAACTTCTACATGTCATGCACTGCTGTGATCAAGAAAAAAGTGTTAAAAAATAAGCAGAACGAAACTTCTGAGGAGCAAATGAGCTGATGTTAAAGAGCCTTAACAGTGCCTGCTGCATAAAAAGCACTCTCAGGAAACTGTAGCAGTTACTTGCTTGAGTTGAAGAAAAAGGGACTTACGAATGGATCCTGAATTGAACAGAATATTAGACTAATCACAATAGTCCATAATGAGTTCTTGAAGCTACTTCAAATTCCTTACAGAATGAAGTCGGACAAATAAATAAATGAATTACTATTGGAGGTGCGAGGAGGGAGATTAGTTTGGAAATATTTTAGATTTCCTTTTCACTATCTCTAATTTCGCCCATCCTTCCCCCCTTACTGCTCTACTCTCACCATTAGAGACTATAGCTGGGGGTCACCTGGCTCCCCATGTGGCCTAGCATACCTTCACTACTGACTGATTCACCACCGCAGCTTCAAAGTCTGTGCCTGCCCCAGAAAGTTCACCCACACCTCAGATTCCAGTTCCAACAGTCACCATCATGTTACCCCCGCAACTGGCCCCCTTTCCAAACTCTCTCTATCCATATCACCACCATGCTTTGCAGCTTCCAGATCCAAATTCCTTGACTCTTATTATCCACTTTCCTTCATCTACTGTCCCTTGGGCTTGCTACTAATCCCTACGGAGTGGTCACTAGACTCTGACCTTCCTCTCCATCCCCACCACAACTGCTCCAAACAAGTCCTCATTCACGTCATGCCTGGATTGATTTATTTCTAAATTCTCTTCCTCTCCCCTCATACCTTCAATCATTCTTCTATTTGGCTGCCATATTCTTCTTACTAAAACAAAGACTTCATACCATTGCACAGCAATAAACCCTCTAAAAACCCCTTCTGCTCCCACACCCAACCCCATCTAAAACCAGGGGCCTACTTCTTGAGATGTGTTTTGTAAGGCCAACAAGCTAAGAATGGTTTCCATATTTTTAAAGGGATGTTAAAAGAAAGAAGAATATGTAACAGGGACTATATGTGGTCCTCAAAGTCTAAAATATTTACTATCTGGCCCTTCAAAGAAAAAGCCTGCTGTTCTTCACCTCAATTCTCAGATCACTGTAGCCCCTGTGTCTGCTCCACTTCCTGACTCCCACCCTCCACTCAACGTCGTTTCCCTCACCAGGTACTTAGTCGACATCATGTATTCTTCTCTACTTTAACTGTTATGTTTCATCTCCTCAGTGATACTGTAAGGTCACTGGGGGTAGGTCCTTTACCATCAATTTATCTGGAAGGTTCTCTACGCTGAGCTTGAGTAGGTGGTTTGGTAGAACAAATAAATTTCACTCAACAACTGAAGCTGGTTTCCAGCTAGGCTGCTGTCACAAAAGCAGGGCATCATTTTATAAGGTCCCTAACCTTCAAAGCTTTTTCTTTCTCTGAGATTCAGAAAGTCTGCAAGGAAATGAAAGCAAGCTTTCTACCTAAAACAGAGCCTCTTTCAGACCAGCAGAAGAAAAACCAGAAGCTGATTCTAGCAATACCCTTTATCACCTGGCCATTTTATTGGGTAGAAAATCATTTACTGAGCTCTTCTGTAGACTTATTCCTGGTCATAAGACCATAGAAACTTGTATTTCATTGTAGTGGCTCTCAACTTTTTCTAGACCACAAAATGACGAAGGCTGGACTGCATTTTTTTAAAAAAACTGCACACATGCACGAACATATGTTTTACATATAATTTCAAGGGGTTAATAAATTTAGTGCTAAACATTATATATATGACAGGTATAAAAACTATGAGCATGTACCTTCAGGCAAATTAATTTAGGCCTCAGTTTGAGTGTTCAATACGTGGGCTAAGAAGCAGAAAATGGAATACATTAAGGGCCTTGGAATGGTCCCAATTTTCAGTTTTTCATGAAAAAATTTAATTGTTAAAATCCAACATCTATTGATGTAAAATAAACCCCTCTTCTAAAGTACTGACCGTAAGTGTATTATAGTCACAGAGGAACAAACAGTTGATATAATATGGTAGTTAAAGAAGAAAAATTATGTTTAATAAATATAATTGTCAACATGTCCCCAATTCTGTTGAGTAAACCAAATCTTCCAAATCATTTAAAGTCACTTTTCAGTCAACAGAGGGAGCTCTAACCTAAGTATCTCTTTAGAATTCAAGTGAACCTACTCACTTCGGAAGAATTCTCTTTTATATGAAATTTTATGTGGCATCAACATCCAGCTTTAACACATACCAGCTTATATTCTGCAAGGCCTGGTCAGGTGTTATTGTCATTTCTTTCTATGTGAGGAAAGGGCACCATTTATTGTCGTTACTGGATATGTTTTCAAAGCAAAATACCTTTAAGGAGAATTTTTATGCTACATTTCATTTTGTTAAAGAACCTGGAAGTAATTCATTAATATTTTGCCCCAACTGTGAAGGACAAATACAGAAAATATATACAGGTGACCTCAGTACTATTACCTTCAATTCTACTAAAGATCCACAATCATTTATCTGAAAACTCTAGGGTAAGAAACATCAGGAAATTCAGAATTGTTCATATCTTAGGAAAGTGATACAGTATATACATGGCATATTACCTAACCCCCTAATGGGACCAGGGCAGTGCCATATAATCAAATACATTAATATTTCTCTAACAAAATATATGAGTATTTTGACAAAATGGAATAAAGACTACAAATAGCCTCATACGGGGTGAGTTCTGCTACTGCCCTCAAATCAGTTTTGGTGCCAAACTTAGGTAAAAACTTGTAGCTTTCAGAGCTTTAAAATTTTGGAAATGCATAGAAGGGACTGTGGACCTGTACTGTCAGATATTTAAGTTCATACTTAAGTAGTAAAGATTTTCTCTGTCACTAAAGGTGAGACATAAATGCCAGTAACTGGTAGAGTGAATATAAATTTTCAAAATTCACTCTAAAAGGATACAAGTAAAAGGAAGAAAGAGACCCAACTGATCACAGAATATTCTGAGTACCTTTTAATACAGAGGGTTAGGTTAGGTGGCCCATGGAACTAAAATAAAGTCTTAAGTCCTGGTTTCTCTCTATCTCCTGTATTATCTAATCATTTTAATATTTTTGTAGTCAGGATGATCCTTCTAAATTACAAATCATATCCTTCAGGGTTGACAGGACAAAACCGAAGTTCCTTAGTTTGTCAGAGAAGGCCCTTCACATGTGTCCCTTGTATCCCTCTCTACCCTCACTCTCCATGCATTCCCTACTCGACCCCACCACTCTCCACAGTTCTGAACAGCTCAGAGTTGCCTCTAACATACTTTGCCTACTCTCACTACCCCACCTGAACATGTTCTCCTCTCTGCCTGAACACACGCTGCTGTTTTTTTCTGGCATTTCCCTTTGGCCATTAAGATTCAGCTTGGATGCCACCTTCTGGATGGTATCCCCGACCCCCATCCCTCCCATGCACTTCCACAGCAGCATGGACTTCAATCTACAAAAACACTTGGCATACTATGCTAAATGGGCAGTTTCCTTGTAGACCCTACACCAGATTCTGATCTCCCTGGGGGCAAAGACCATGTCTGCCTCTTCATCACTGTATCTTCAGCATGCAGCACAGTCCTGGAACATGGATGGTGTTGCATACCTATTTGCTAGATAAATTAATGAAATGAATGAAACACACAACAGGTTCAGAAGAGTGAAAAATCACTTAGGGTAAGGGAGTTCAAGAAAGGATTCGAACTAGATCTTGAAAGATATGTAAAGTTTTGTTAGCTGGAGGTGGGAGAAGGCATTTTAAATTGGTGTGGCTGAAACATGGAGACAGGACAGCATCAGGAATATTCATCACTGCCCCACTGAGTAACCTTATTTTGCTAGAGCATAGGGCTTGTGGGGGAAGAAAGGGAAAGAGCTGAAAAGAATGTGGATATCACCATCATCATTACTATTAATTTAAAAAAGTAGTGTGGTAGAGAAAGAATGACAACTAGCTATAAGAGGTTGGGTAAAGTCACTTCACCTCTCCTGGTATTATCTGTAAAATTAAGGAGTGGGATGGTTTTTTACAATCCTAAAATTCTATGATGTTTAAAAATGGAGTAGACCTAGTTTCCTGGAAGTGGTATATTTGGGAGACAGAGGAGGGCTCTGGGTGCCAGGATGAGGAGTCCCGACTTCCAGCTGTAGGAAGTGTAAACTCCCCAAGGTTACTGACCATGGGTGTAACCTGATGATATAACAGGGACTCCAAGGCAGAGGAGAGACTCCCAGGCAGGTAGCAAGGAGACTCCCCAGGGGACCGTAAAAGTATCGAACAAGGCAATCTCAATGGCATGGGCATGAAGATACACAATAAAGACCTGGGTTTAGCCCCCTGGAGTAAAGTTAATAAGTCACCTTGGGGATCATAAGAAGTATTATTTCTAAAGGAATTACTGGAGAACAGCCAGGCCAAATCCTTATTTTCACCCTTAAATGCAAGCTGCTACCCAGATATGGGTGCTGGAGATGATCACTGAACTTCAGAAAGGCTGACCGTGGGGAGGTGGCGGTCTCCACTCTCACTAACCTGATGCACACAGATGTTACACTTATCACAGAACACCATATCATTCCCTTCTTCACTGTCTGGAGACCGGCACACATCACAGATCACATCTTCATCATACTCTATGCCTAGCCCTTCCTCTGTCTCAATAGCATGGTTCATATTTTCATGGCAATGGCGTTCCAGGACTTCTACTGTCTTTTCCATAAGATTCTCATCAACTGGCCCACAACCTGCACAGAAATACAAACAATCAATCAACCCATCAGTCAGCTGTCATTCCCAAATCACCTACTGTGAGCCCGGTGCAGGGGTGGGGAGATTCTAAAGGATAAAACCATCTCTTCCCTGATCTAAAACAACCAGATTTTAAAGAATCTTTTACTAGAGCTATTCTAAAATTTACCTATCATCACATATTAGTGTTTGACACATGAAAGGAGAAATACATTTCACCATATTCTTTGTAAGTTATATATACTGACCCTTTCAATTTTCTGTCCAAATCCTAGCCAGTCTCCTCCTAAATCTGTTTTCTTTTCTCTCTCTCTCTCTCTGTCTCTTTTTTGTGGCTGCGCCATGAGGCTTGTAGGATCTCAGTTCCCTGACCAGGGATTGAACCTGGAAAGCCCGGAATCCTAACCACTAGGCAACCAGGGAACTCCCCCGAATCTGTTTTCTCTTATTCCCACTGAGGGAGGACTTTCATTGGACTTTGTAATCTTGAACACTTTATAGTATAATAAAATAATTAGAATCATATAACTATTTGGATATAAATAACAATTCATTCTTAGCAAATTAGTTCCAATGAGCACATCTAATGGTTACACAAGGAAAATTTCATACAAAAAGGTATTAAGCCATAAAAGAAAATTCTAGGTACTGTATATGTGATTATACATATGAAATATTTGTTTTTCAAACCTGACTTTTAGAAAATCCAATATTTTCTAATGACAAACTATAATATAAAATAAACTTATTAGCATTCATAAAGGTCTAACTGCAAATTCTGAAATTACCTTTTTTGCCTCTTGATTCCTTTTCCTTCTATACTTTTAATTTTTCTTAGCCTTCTATACATAATAACTCAACTAAAAGATTCATATGATGGCTATTGGTAACAACTAAACATTTTTCTTCTTAGGGGGACTGATGATTTTGTGAGAGCACACATATATTTATTCTAACAGCTTATAAACTCAGGAGTACTTCTCAAAGTGATCCAAAACAAATTTATCCAAATATACCACTTCATCTGCAATATAAGATCCTAAGGAACTTTGGAATTCCACATAAACTACCTTTTCAATGTTGTTGCTACTTATGAAACCAAAAACTACTCAGGTAGTATGTTTAATTTTTCCAGCCAAGACAAATTACACTTTTTTTTTTTCCTGGAGTGAAGGAGTATAGTGTCTGGTTATAAGAGCACTTGGATTCAAATTCCAACTTGACCTCACATTGGTTATATAAGCTTTGACAAGTTATTTACCCTCTTTAGGGCTTAGCTTCCTTATCTATAAAAATAAGGATAATAATACCAAACTCATTGATTTCTTGTGAGGCAGAGATGAGATCATGTTCATACATTGCTTAGTATAGTGACTGGTATGCAGTAAGCACTCAACTTTTAGAATTCCTTAATCTGAACAAAAAACATGCTTAAGATAATATTGTTTTTGAAAGTTTATTTTAAGCTCTTAGAACCTTACTACAATATCATTCACTCTAAAGGAATGCTGGAGATAAGGTAATCATCTTTTTAAAACTCATCCAAGCCTAAATGCAATGTGGTATCCTGGACGGGATCCTGGAACAGAAAAAGGTCATTAGTGGAAAAACTGGTGAAATTCCAATAAAGTCTGGAACTTAGCTAATAGTACTGTACCTGTGCTGGTTTCTTAGCTTTGACAGATGTATCATGGTAAAGTGAGATGTTAACATTAGGCGAAACAAACTGCATGAGGCGTATATGGTAACTGTATTAAAACTGCAACTTTTCTTGAAAGCTAAAACTATTTCAAAAATTTTTTTGAAAGCTTATTTAAAAAAAACTCATCCAAAGGGAATTAACTGCAAAATACCAAAGGGACTTTGTTATAAGGCAGTGTCATGTTGAAGGCAGCACTGTAATGACTATAGTGTATATGGATGCTGTATGGTTCATAAACACAACTGTACATTGAGCCATCGATCCACTTGATTATGCCCTCATACTCTCATTTTCCCTTTCTGTCAGTCTTTTATTCCCTTCTCTTTGTGGTTCCGACCCTAAATTTTTTTGACCCCTCTCCTTCCTCTTAGAAGGCAGAACAAGAGAAGACATAAAACAAAATGTTTTAAAAAGCAAGGAGTTAGTATTGGTTACTGGCAGAGTAACTATCACCACCATGCCAAACTGGATTTAGTATAATTTTAATTTTGTATTCACATGCATTCAGATACCAACCTCAAAAGAAAGAAAGAAAAAAAAGGGAAGAAAAGGAAAACCACTGATCCTTGTTGTACTAACAATGAACAAATGTGATTCAAACAAAAACAAAATCAAATGTATCCTTTACCATATCTCATACAGAGAGTTAAAAACCACCCAGTTTCACAGGACCACTTGGACCTAAACACTGTTTAGACTGAAAACAGGTCAAAAAGAACTGTGTGTAAGTATAAGGTGAGTTTCCTTTCAGCCTAGGATTTCTGAGCATTGCCGGTATGGTACTGTATGGCACACGTTTACTTTAAAATTACTACTATGTTTACTACGAGGTTTTTTATTTGCTTGTTTTTGCTTCATTCTATTCTATTTTTTGAGAGTAGCATGACAACTCTAGAACTCACTGTAGGTAGCTAAGAACTGCTTTGGGGATGTTTTACCCTAGGCCTGCCATTCTTCTTCCAGGCAGCAAAATACAAGTCCTACATTAAGGCATCCTGGTCACATCAACCTGTCAGTTGCAGTGGTGCTGCCTAATGTTGAAGTTGCAGTTTCTCTCCATCAGGTGGAGATGTCAGAGGTGCCACTACCCTTGGCCCTGCTCACTGATCATGGTACTTTTCAGGGCCGAACGAGCAACCAGTCTCAGAATCCTTCTCAACCAGAAGTCCAATCAGCCATGACCAATCTCACACTCAGAACTGGGAAATGGCCTTGTGAAACCTACATGCCATCCCTGATCTGTGATATCCACCATGAACAAGGAAAGACAAGGTCAGATTTAAATGTTACTGCTCTACTTCAATATATTTATGCATTTCAGGAAATGCCTCATTAAGATTAAGATTAAAGAGAAAAATAAATGAAGAGCCCAGAAGAGAAAGGAAGCCACAAAATGAAAGCAAGTTAAAATGGTCCTGACACCTTTTTAAAAAAATCACAAATCAAGTCAAGGAACAAGTTACTTGTGAGGAAACAACTTACCCATTTCTGCGAGGTCTTCATTGAGTTCCTGGAGCCAGAAGATGTCCATGTCATCTAGGTCATAGCGGCACACAGATGCCGCCAGCTCCATGATGTTGATGTAGCCAGGCTCTGCAGTCTCTGGGCTGGAGCAGTGGATGTACTTCCGGGGTCGGATAAATAGGACCTCCTTTACCTTGTCGGCTACAATCCTAGAAAAGCAAAAGAAAGACACTGATAACAATCAACAAATGACAGATTCCAGGCACTGACTGGATGGGCCCAACAGCACTCAGGCCATACAGTGGAGCTGAATGTTCTCCCTTCCCACCCTGGAGAAATCCCCTGCTCCGCCAAATGAGAGGCATGACAGATCCCTTTCTAGAAAGTAAATGGTTGTACAAATCCAGCGTTGTTATTTGCTGTGAATACTCTGACTGCTAATAAAATGTTTCATTTACGCTTTTGGCTCCTAGGCCCTTACTACCATTCCTTCTAATAAAATATTGCATTGTGCGTTCTTGGTGCAATGGCCACCACGTTTATTTAGAAGGGGAACCAGAAGAAGGGGTGATACCTGTACAAAGGCACAGCCGGATTACATACCAAAGATATATTTTAGCTAAACTCATGATTTTCTACCATGGAGGCCATACTGGATGGTGGTAAAGAGTATAGGCTATAGACTCACACAAACCTGTCTTTTACTGCCACTCACTCGCATGGTGAACTTGGGCAATTACTTAATGTCTACAAAGTTCAGTTTTCTCAGCTAAAAAGGACGATAATCATAAATTATGATATAATAGTATCAAACTTATAGGGTTATTATGACGATTATATGAAATAAAATACGTAAAGTGCTTAGTAAAGTGTATAGTAAAAAACAGATGATCAATAATGCCAGTGTTGGGCTGCCCTGGTGGCACGGTGGTTGAGAGTCCGCCTGCTCATGCAGGGGACACGGGTTCATGCCCCAGTCCGGGAAGATCCCACATGCCGCGGAGTGGCTGGGCCCGTGAGCCATGGCCACTGAGCCTGCGCGTCCAGAGCCTGTGCTCCGCAATGGGAGAGGCCACAACAGTGAGAGGCCCGCGTACAGCAAAAAAAAAATAAAAATAAAAAAATAATAATGCCAGTGTTATTTTTATATCTCTTATTATTTTTACTATTTAGGTAGATGAGTTAAAGCCAAGAGGCCATGGATTTATACAAACTTAAGCCATTTCCCAACCATAAATGATAGTGACTATAAGTCTGAGTCAGGAAAACACAATGGGATGAAAGATTCCCGTTCTTCCACCAAATTATCTAGCAGGCCTGAGCAAACCCATTATTTTCCCAAACCCCTCTGACACTTAAAAGCCCAAGGCAAGGAAACCAAGCAAGGGAAGAAACAGAAATTTCTCATACCAATGACTCGTTCTACAATGAATGTTCTAGATAGTACATGAAGCATCAGAAAATGTAACCAAGACAAAATCTGAATTATTAGTCCCTGGAAATTTTAAAGAACAGGGTAGGCCATCTAAAAAAGAGAGAAAGGGGGTAATCCAAGAGGAAATCAAAAAATACCTAGAAACAAATGACAATGAAAACACGACAACCCAAAACCTATGGGATGCAGCAAAAGCAGTGCTAAGACAGAAGTTTACAGCAATACAATTCTACCTCAAGAAACAAGAAACATCTCAAATAAACAACCTAACCTTACACCTAAAGAAATGAGAGAAAGAAGAACAAAACTTCCCCAAAGTTAGCAGAAGGAAAGAAATCATAAAGATCAGATCAGAAATAAATGAAAAAGAAATGAAGGAAACGATAGCAAAGATCAATAAAACTAAAAGCTGGTTCTTTGAGA